AATACCAAATTCATGAAAATGCCCCCAAAAAAAAAAAAGGTGTCCAGCCATTTTACAGGACACGTTATACTGTTTAAATTCTGCTATATATTAATCCAAACTCCACAGCCACCTCAAATTATTTGCTAATTAAGTGCTAAATCACCTGCCAAAAATCACCAACCACAAAAGCAGAGTTAGACTTGACATACAGAAAACAGAAATAAATTAGAAAATTCAAACCAGCACAAACCATACAAATGCTCAAGTTGAAACATAAAATCCTTTTTATTTTATTTTAAACTTTCTTATTTAGTAATCCCTATAGTAGTATATAAGTGTGTTTTTGTGCTCTAATTTGTAGTGAGTGTTAAAACAAGATTTACCTGCTCTATCCACCATACTTGTTGTGAGTATGATTAGTACTCTTCTTCTTGAAAGCTGATTTAATAAACAAGAAACAAGACGTAAGCAGTCCCACACCCACTAATCCCCCCATCACTATTGCTACTGTCTTCCCTGTATTCGTCCCTCTCCCTGCCCCTGCACCCTCAATACCCCAATCACATTAAACACATATCACTATTACCTACCTATATATATACAACTTTAAAATCTTGAAAATATACACCTAACATTTACAAACACAATAATCCCATAAAACCAATGGCATGTTCATTTTTATATAGCAATTTGTTAAACAAAATATTGCATTAATTCTTCTTATATATATATTATGATTAGAAAGTCACTGCAGTCCCGTCACGGAATGATTCATTGGTTATTATTATCATTTAGATTACTGTATGGTAAATAATCCATGGTTAAAACATACTCACTCACTGAATCATTCCGTGATGGGACTGCAGTCATTTCCTATGATAACTATACATTGTTCTACTAATTTTCTCTAGAGAGAAGTACAATATTTTACCCGATGACGATGAAAGTGATGATTTCCGGTTAGCCGGCACCCCACCTGGATAATACGTATAACTTACATAACACGCCTGCATATACACCTGCGCCGATACAGATCCTCCACATTCAAACTTCGCCCTATCGACCGCGTTTTTCACACACTCCACACACTCGACCCCACCCAAATCACCCTCACACTGACCCAACACGTAAACCGACCCATACCCTCCGGCATAGAATCCTCCTCCGCGGCCCACCAAACCGTCCTCCATCCCACCAATTGCCTCATCAAATCGGGCCCCAGACCCGGGCCCTCCGGCCCGGCCCGGCCCGCATATCTTAAACAGAAAATCCGAGGGTCCCGCCACCTGGAACCCGGAGGGCTCGTACCGGAGGTAGCAACCGGCGAGCTGGATCCTGACGGCCACCGCCCGCCGGCGGCAGAGCTTTCCGGCCATAGACGAGGCTTTTGCCACGCAGGCGGAGCAGGAGTCGCCGGAGAGGTCTCCCCGGCACTGGAAGCGGCCGGAGAGGCCGCCGGAGGTGGCGTTGTGGAAGTTGGCGGCGGAGGAGTGGGAGATTAGGTTTTCGAGGAGGTGTTTGAGGGTTTGGCTGACGTGGAGGTTGTCGGAGTCCGGGAAGCTCTGGACGGCGCAGCCTTTGAAGACGAGGTTCTTGTAGTCCGAGGAGGAGGATGAGGCTAGAGAGAGAAAGATCACGGCTAGAGAGAGAGGGAGGATGAGCGATGATGATGATGGAGGAGAGAGAAACATTTT